GTTTTGAGCATCACCAACTAACATAAAGGTTATACATGCGATACGATCAACATCCATCAAAGCCAAATGCTAAAAGATGGCCTCCATAGACTCGATCCATTCCTCTATAATGTTAGGATTTGGGCCACTCATGAATTCTTTTGGATTAAACTTGGAAAATATTCTACTATTTTATCCCACTATGGTGGCCACACTTCAATCGATCCATGCCCACTCATTTCTAAAATCCTTTATAATTTTTTTCTCATGTCTTTCTTGTTGCAACTCCATCATCTCTTCGTCGCCCTCTAAGCAACTCTATTAACTCTCCTTCTCCATCTCGTTTGTAATTGGCTAAAACTCGCACCATTACTAATGTTATCATTATTAATAACCCTTTTTTATGGCATCCTCTCTCTCTTTCTCTCTCTCTTAATTTATGCACACAACAACATAAATTATGTCATTCATAACACATTTACTAATAATAGTCCATGCACATAACATTTTAGCGTAATAATTTTGCATAAATAATTATCATGCCATTCATATTCATCAAATATATACATTGAGCAATCATAACAATCAATCATTAAACGTACTTATTGATTGTCGATGGTCACCTCCCGTGTATCATGTATGCGCCTTCCTTAACTCTTTAGTAAACTATACTCTAATACTATATCCGTAACACCCCCAACCTAGGATCAAATAGGTCAAGAATATTACCGTCATTGACTTACATTTAAAATGCAATGAATACAAGTAAACAAGGCACCATGTCCTTTCTATGGTATTACTAGGTATGGAATTAGCTACAAAAGCCTAACATTGATGGTAGGTCCAAAATTTCAGCCCAAAATGCACTATCAATATTTTACATTTTAGCATTTTATTTAAATTGCTCGAACTGAATGAACTGGATTTATAATGCTCGATTTTCTCAAATTCCTTTTCTATTAAGCTCGTATAAATTTATTTAATTATCACTCATTATTCGATATTTAATTTCTTTTATTCTCATTATTTTCCATTTATTAATGTTATTCACCTTATTATTTTAGTGATCACATTTTAATATTAACTTTGGCATGTAAATAAAAAATTAAAGGAATCTAATACTACTCACTACTATACTATCATATTTTTACCGAGTTTTGGCTACCATACAAACTATCTTATATTCTACATATACTAGTTTTATTCCACAAGCTACAAAAAAAAATATTATTATTTATTTACATTTATTTTTTTTCCTAACTAACTACTCATTTGTTCATTGCTTTAACTATCATGTAACAAAACAATGTCATACCCAATATGTAAACCAAAATACCGAGCACTAATATAACTACTCGTTTGAAAAGGGTCCACCTTACGACCACACCTAAGATATACAAGGCAAAATGATCCCTCAATAGTCAGCTCAAATGTGATCATTGCCATCTTTACCTTTGGTACCTACATCATAGGAATTTGGTGAGCGATTGCTCGGTAATTTAATCCATACATGACGTCCTTGTGACGAAATGCAAATGATAAATTACTTACGTAAAATCTTTTTTCCATGTCATAAAATTCGTATCATGATCATTCTAGAAAATCTTTTTCATCTTTGGACATGTCTTGTCATTTAACTTCAAGGTTTTCATGATTTGTCCGGAAAATCGGACCAATCTACAAACGCGTCCTGTTGAGTCTCTAAATGTGCATATCTACACTCACTCGTCCCCGAACTATAAACCATGAAAGTAATGAAAAACCCATGAAGCCTTTTCCATAAAATCATGGAAGGCATTAAAACCTTGTAACCATGAAATATTTCTAATTGCTATTGGAAAATCCTTGAAGGAAAATCCTTTTTCATGACTTAAAATCTTTCCATAAAATCCTTTTCATAACTCGACATGCATATGCATTTTAATGTAAATGCATAAGTATCATGAATTCATATAATTCCTGCTATGAATGGTGCATATTATGCCATAAAAATGCACGTCAAATATTAGAAATGCATCATAACACTTTACCTTGTAACCCCATTCTGAATCATTTCAAATAATGGCACCATTAACATAAACATCACATAACCTTACCATGGCAACATTATTCAACCAAGGCATTACACCCATTCCATCATCCATTGCACAACTTCCACAATATAGCAATCATAGAATACATATCAATGGCAACATATAACCCAATTCATAATCATATTACACAAACCAATCATAAACCCCGATTTTCTTAAGGTTAGCTGAATGTGCCCTTAGGTTAAGTTAGGTAAATTCTTTCAATTTTAGTATCAATTTTCATACTAAATCATTTAAATATACTTTAATGACATGATTTAATCAATTAAACATCCATAAGCTAATTGTACCAAAACCCTAATTTTAGGCTTAATGGACCGAATGCATGCTTAAGGTAACTAAGGGGAAATTTTTAATTCTAATGAAATTTTTCATGATAAATCATCTTTTATACTATACTGTAATAACTTGAAATTAATCAATTAAACCATTTTAAATCAAAAGCATTAAAACCCTAATTTTCTCCTAAATTGGGCTAAATGTAGGCATAAGGTAACTAGGTGAAATTTTTAATTTTTATGTAATTTCTCATGCTAAATCTATTCATACTTGAATAACACATAATTAAATAAAAATTCATCAAACAAACCAAAGGATCAAAAACCGTAAATTTGGAAATTTTGGCCGAATCGTACACAAAGAATTAAGCTAAGAAATTCTTGTTTCCATCTCATAATTTCATTCTCAATTAACATATTCTAACTTCAATTTCATGAATTTCCAACTCAAAAATATTTTTCCCAAATTTTTCTTACCAAGAACCCTAACCCTAATTTCTAACATTAATTCAATTAAACACAATTTAAGGGTGCCAAATCAATAATTAGCATTAGTAAACACGTCCTTGTGGTGTGAATGAATTAACGTATCTTTAAAGCTCTAATTAAACCCTTGAAAGATTAATTTTTCCTTGAGAATTCTTCCTCCCCTTTTTCCTTCAAACTTTTGGCCCAATCCTCAATTTTTCCTCCTTGGAAATTTTCGTTTTCTAACTTGAATTCTATGCTTAATAGGATATTTTTGGGTAATTAAAAGTGTTTAGATAAAATTTTAGGTGGAAGTTTATGAAAATTTTGCAAGAATTTCCTTTGTGCTTTTCTACTTTTTATTCCAAATTTTTCCCATTTCTCTTCCACCCATATTTATAGGTAAGTTTGGGTGGACTTGATCCATGTTTGACTTGATCTCCACCCTTCATTTGGTTTAATGTTAGCCCTTGATTTTACTTTTAATCTAAACCTTTCATTTGTTTTAAATCTTAACTATTCATGCTACCTTTAGACTTTAACTTTCCATCTAAGCCATCTAACCTAATCTCCTCCTCCATTTGTGCAAGTTAATTAATACACCCAATAATTGAAGGAGAATGGTGGCAAAAAGAGGAGAAAAATCTCTCCTAAAGTTATTTAATTTTAGTCCCTTAATTTTGTAAGCTTTTCTACAATTACTCTTCCACAACTCCTCCAATTATTCAATTGATTCCTTTAGGCCCTTTCTTTAAGGTTTTCCTAACAACTTTTTACTTCCTTAAGTTCATAATTAATTTAATTTGAAAGTTTAAACTTTTAATGTTATGCTATTAGGTGCCTATCTATGCAAAATTTATTCCACATTCTTCCAAAAAGTAATTTCTTTTCATTTTAAATTCAAACACCTCCTATAAGAATTTATTCATCATTCACATAATTTTTATGCACAAATTTAAGCTCTCAAATTAATTATCATGTGTAAAAATACGTTTATTTCTACATAAAATATTTCCTATGCATAGAAAAATTCACCTAAGTTCATGAAATATTCTTACACCTCCTTAATGATTTTTCTATGCCCATTGAAAAATTTTCGAACACATTTAAAATACTCAAAATAATTAATTTACATGAAAAGATACTATTCATGCATCGAAAATATTCACCGAACATCAAAAAATTCATCCAATGACATCAAATAATCTATCACCCCTTTAGCAAATATTTTATGCAAATAGAACATTTTTTTGCTCATTTAAAATACTCAAAATAATTATTTTGTATAAAAAATTAGTATTCATACATCAAAAAATAGATAAAATATTCACTTGGCACAAAAAAATTATCTTAAGCGCACAAAATATTCAAACATCCTCATGGAAACTATCCAATGCCTACGGAATAGTTTTCATATGTCCTTAGTATATTTTTAATTCATTTAATGACAAATTTGGGATATTATAAAGGGATTGTGCATATTGTTTTGGATTACCTTAATCAAAGGATGATTAGGCTTGTGAAAGCAAGCTAAGAGGTTAAGGATATAGAAATTGGTTCGGATAAGAAGTAGATGAAGAGGTTTTTGCAGATAATTGAGAGATGTTAATGTTTTTAAAATCTTTAAATTATAAAGGAGAAGATTGGCTTAGACATAACATCTTTCACATATGATGCACATCTCACGAAAAAGTGTTTGAACTTGATCATTGATGGAAGAAGTTAGGATAACGTGGCTTCCACAAAGATAGTGGAAAAACTCAACTTATCAATCATTGATCATCCAAATCCATAGATAGCTTGGTTAAACAAGGGTTGTGATATTCCGGTGACCTAGTGGTACCATATAAAATTTTCCATAAAGAAGAGGTATCAAGGCAAAGTATGATGTGATGTGATTACTATGGATGCATGTTATATTTTATTGGAGAAACCATGGCAATGCGATAGACGAATTGTAAATGATAGGTTCAAAAAAATATCTAAAAGATGAGAAGATTGTTCTAATGCCTATAAAGAAGGAACTTTCAAATAGAACCCAGCATTACTAAGAGGAGTTAGTTAATAAGGGCATTGAAAGAGCAAGACGGAGCTGAAGGAGAAGTCGATGTAGCTGACTTTGTTGGTGTGAAAGGAAACAAAATTTCCAACCATAAAGTTGGCGTGATTGAGGGCAAGGCTGATGGAAAATTACCCAATCTATTCCCACGTGAAGTTGGCTGCACAAAACCGAATGAGACTTGTTATTAATGAAGAGGGCAGACCTAGTGGACAAGTTGTTCACAGCAAGGGGTCGTATATTGTGCAAAACATGCACTTAATATTCAACAATAAACACGTCAAAGCTGTTTCTAAAGAAGATTCTGGAAATTCTCACAATGATGACAAACGGAGTAAAGCTACTTATGCAAACCAGGTTGAACCTGCCACACAACAGAAAACTAAGCTAAAATCTGAAATCAGTACTGTCCACTTTGAAGTCAAACAGAAAGGAAGTGACCACGTGATTGAACTCCATAGAGATGGTTTAAATGAGTAGACGAGACGTGTTGGAAATTCTTTAACTACTATCATGCCAAGGCAATGGCGTTACACATTATAGTTGGCTTATCCAAACATTGCAGCATCAATTCAACATGCAAACAACTTGATAACAAGGACAAGTTAACAAAGAAGTTGAATGAGCTGAGCGGTAATTCAAAGATTCATCCTTGCGAAAGACTTGCTTACTTTAATTATACGTTCATAGCAATGGCAATAAGTAAGTTGCACAAACCAATCTTACCAAAAATATTAGTGTATGACCAGTCGATAAAACAGAAAAATTTCTCAAGAGGGAATGAAAACATCAGCAGTAAAGTTAGATGAAACGAAAAGAATGACAACATCATTTGTAGAGTTGGCCTTTCTTTGGCGCATGTCTAACAGTCGTTAGCCTGAAATTACGAAACCGCTTTTGATAGTAGTTTCGAGCAATAGACTTCTAATCGTTCTTCGACCAAACCCAAACCTCTTCTCTACTTAAGGGTGGTCAAAATAGATAATAGGGACCCTCTTCTACTCTCCGATGAAGGTTGTGTTAGTCACACCTATTGGAGAGGGAGAGTCATCAGTCTTCTTCTTCTTCTTGATGTTGGAATAACACGATGCCTCAAACTTTACAAAAACTCAACCAAATAACACAATATAGAATCCTTCTCAAGGCTAATCTATCTCCAAATAATACAGCAATCCTACTATAAATCAACAATAATCAAATTCTCAACTAAACCCAAACAAGCAAATCCTACTGCAAATCAACAACAATCAAATCCTTAACTAATTCCCAAACAAGCAAAAATGGATTTATCAAATAAGGCGTTTGAATAGCTTGAATAGTGCAGGGGTAGACCTTAGGTTATATTTGTTCAAATAAGGTGAAAATATACCACAACCTATCTAACATCCATTAATAATACCTTGCAAAATTATAGGTCAAAAAAATGTACAGTAAGAGGTACTTAGGAGGATAAACATGCCAAAAGTCTTGAAACCACAATGCTAAGTTCTTGCACGCAATAATCTTTAATCCACCTTAGACGATCACTCTAAGGATATGCTCCAAGTAATCCTAGTTTATTCCAAACTAAGGAAACATTTGAATACTTAAAAGAATAAATCTCTAAAATGTATTGCTTTCAAAGTCAGCTTGGTCTACTAAATATGTCAACTAAAACCTCTTGCAAAGATGCATGAGATATGTTTATATACTGCTCCTAGAAGACCTACAAGAATTATGCTAGGGCAGAAATTTTTCCCTAAGCCGAACACCTTTCCTAAACAAGATTAGACTTATCTAATCCATATTTAATTAGCTATTTATTTCTTATTTAGTCTTGTTACTTATGAATCCACATATCACAAGGACTTATTAAAAACCTTTTTCCGAAAAGATAACAATCCACAAATAAAAATAAGGAATAATTATCGAAAAACCCTCTAAAAAAATCTTATATCCAAGAAGCCCATCAATTTATTCTTAAATCTCTCAAATCCAAAATAATATTTTTCTTACAAAAACACTCAATAGTTAACATCTAACTTAACACAAGTTAACTATTGGGTCTTTTAGTAAGAAAATTTTTTTATTTTTTAGTTTTGAGAGATTTAAAAAATAAATTGATGAATTTTTTAGATAGAAATTTTTTTAGAGTTTTTTCTTATAGTTTTTATCTAGTAATAAACTCATTTCATAGTTTTTAATGAGTTTGATATATATTTTTTTTCATGATCAAGTCGAGTTCTTTTTATTGCATTCGAAAGGAAAAAAAAATTTTTTGAGGTTCCTTGACTTTTAAATACTAACATTCGACTAATTTTCTTTTATTACACTAAAAAATTCCTTATATTAGAGTTTTTTTTTTATCAACTCGTTTGTTTTATTAATTACGAGATTAATTTTAGTATCTAGTAACTATAGCAACCGAGGCAATTTAAATAATTAATATTGATGAAATGAGACTCTTTTTATTCTCTAGTAATTTAATCAAAGGGTTATCATACAAATAAGAAAAATAAACATTAGTGATTTCTTAAATCCTAATATATTGATAGGGAAAAAAAAAGCATAATTGGTAATACTAGTTTTTAATTAACCAAAACTCAACATTTTTTATCAAAAAATTAAATTAAATTACAAGATGAATAGGTAACATATTTTAGTGCATTAATTAAATAAAACATGATCAATCATGATAGAAATACATATCTTGAAAGATAACGGTTTCTTTTAAACTAGGGATAATTACCAAAATATCTTCAAAAAAGTCTTCAATCTAAAAAATTTGCTATTTTATTTTTAAATTTTCCAAATACAAAATAATATTTTTAAATCTCATAAGCTTAAAACAAGATTTTTCTTACCAAAACAATCAATAGTTAACATAGAGTTATTTATTAGGTGTTTTTGATATAAGAATATTATTTTGGGTTTGAGAGATTTAAAAATAAATTTATGAGTTTTTTAGATGAAATATTTTTTTATAAGGTTTTTCTAGTAATTATCCTCAAAAATAATTTTCAATCCCCTAATATATTCGGACACCACCTATAATTTAGGAAATAAATAATCAATGAGGACTTAATAATTTAAACCAAGTACAAGCACAAAATAAACCCAAAATAATAATAATAATCCAATCTAAATGAGAAAGAAAGAAATAAATAAATAAAATAAAATATAAACATACAGGTAGGTAACCAAAAACTTCCGACCAACATTAGCCAGGAGTATTCGAACATGACTGTGAGGAGACAATCATGTGTGACTTTTTTCTCCGATTTGACTCTATTACAGATGGTGGGATTTGAATCTTGAAATTAGTCAAGAAAAAATCTTAGACCCTAGTGGAAGTCAATTTCTCCATTGCATAAGAAAAATTGGTTGGAAATGAGCTCAAGGAAAACGAGTCGGCGTTCGAGAAAATGGGTTGAGTTATTATTGACTGATTCAGCTTCCTTCACTAGTTTTTATCATCATGGCAAGTCGAGAGAGGCGCTGGAGTGTTTATGGGTGGTTCTGACTTGTTTTCGAGATTTAATATGGTCAGAGGTTGGTGGTTTCTAGAGAGAAGGAAGAAACGGGTTAGGTGAACGGGTTATACAAGTGAGAGAGGAGCTTTTTTCCTTTTTTTTCCCTTTTTTTCCTTTGTTTTTTTTTTCCTTTTTCCTTTTTCTTTTTTGTTTTTTTATTTATACCCTAGGTAAGGATGTGCACCTAGAAAATCTCTAGTCTAGATTCATCTTCTCTAGATTAATTAGGCTTAGCTTGGTTAGGGGTATCTTTATCCCTATGTTATAATAGACTAATCTTAAAAATAGGATTAGACTAAACTAAATCTGATTAGGATAGCCCCTTTGTAATTTTATTACTTTTCTTTTTCCTTCTTTTTTTCTCTTTTTCTTGTTCCTTTTTTTTTTCTAACTTGTTTTCTTCTTTTCAATCTTTTTATACACATATTCTTTTCTTTCTATTCATATTTTATGCTTGGTTCCGAAACTTATGAAAAATAATAAAAATCATAAAAGTACATAAAAAGTTTAAGTTTTGAAAAATCCAAATAAATGGAGAAAAATTTTTAATTTCGAAAATTTCAATTTTTTTTAAAAATAAAGAGATCGAAAATGAGTTACAACAATTACTCCTTCATTAAAATGCTTACGATGCGAAACCTTTGAAAAGTGTTTTTCTACGACTTTGCATAGTAAGCTTGTAGAGTTAAAAAAAAAAAAAAAGAAGAACAAATTTAAAACTGGATCACTTAAAGAAATTATGAAATGAAATCAATTGATAGGTGACTTTTTTCTAAATCATAAGTCAAATACGAGTCACCTACTCCAAATCATAGGTCAAATATTGGTTAGTGTCCTTAAATCATACATCAAATTGAATCATGTAAAACTAGCAATTTGGTAATCATAAGCATTTAAAAAACATATGCTTGACACAACATGTAGAGAAATCACAAAACAAAAAATTATGCCATACACAATCATAATGGTCCTTAATGCTTTTGACTTCTTTTAGTATGACCCTTCAAGAGTTCTAATAATAAATGTTAAATCTTACCATCTTTATAGAATTGTAAATCATCGTTGCTAAAATTTGAAGTTCCCCATTTTCTTTATTGGACTCGATCTAGGTAAAATAGGTTCAAAGTTCTAAGCTTACTACTTTCATTGAACTTATCTATTTATTCATTGCATCTTCTTATTATTCTCTCGATTCTTGTATTCATTTATAGGATTATTTAATTCTTATTCATATTGTCTAATTTGAATAGAAACACCATTCATCTTCTCATACCCTCTAGGTATTGCCCTATAGTATTTAGACTTTTATTATCTCAAACTAAGATACTTCGACCAATATGGCTTATATAGCCTTCACTTAGAACTATTTGTAATTTATTATAGATTCTTTTAATTGTTTCATGATGAATGTCTTATCATTTATCATGTTTTATAAAATTCTTATCATGCTATATCCTAAAATTTGGATGTATTAGTATATGTTTATGAATAAAATCAATCATAACATTTAGCAGTAAAACCAAAGAAAAGAATTTTTAGGGACTCGGTCATATTTTCAAAAACTAGGTAACTTTAAGAATCTAAAATCATGAATCAAATTATACAATTTCAATTAAAAAAAAAAATAGAAGAAGCAAACTACAATAATAATGTTGAAGAAGATTTGGCCATAGCTCAAATTATTTCTTTATTGCTTTGGATGAAAGAACAGTTGTGATGCTTGATCTTCTAATGTTCATCCAGCTTTATGATCAAATTGATCATAACTTGTTCTTAAGTACCGATAGTGATCATTCATTTATCATCCACCTCTACTTATCATTACTCATATCATCTATCTTGCATCTTCCGGTATTTGTATCTTGTTTTTCAAATTAGTGTTCAAACTTTCATTGAATTCTTAAAAAAAATATTTCATTTGTTGTGACTTTATGGATTAAGTTCGTATATTTGAATAATTTTCTTCAA